GTTTATATTTGTATTCTGTGTACTGTGACATGCTTACATGCTTTAATGTTCAAAAGGGTCTTTATTTGTAATCGTGCTGCAGCACCTCTTTTCACCCTCTGTCTGAAACCAGTACAATGTGTTGGAGCGATAGCCAATAGAAGTGAGAGTGTCACATCATGATGTCACTATGTAGCGGAAGTAAACAAAGAGTCCAATGGAGGCATTCCAGGCAGTGTGTGGGAGAGAAAGTCCCTCTGGAGGGAACTTTCCATATAACACACTACAGGAAAGAGAAACCCCAAAAAGCATGATAGGTCCCCTTTAACTTGACATGCTCTCAGTCTCCTCCCACCTGCTCATGGTGTCGTCGTCCTCCGAGTCGCAGAAGCTGGTGGTCTCCAGCTCGCTGCTCATCACGGTGCTGGAGCTCTCGTAACCTGCCAGGTGGCGCTCTAGGCGACTCTGCCCGTTGATGCGAGGCCCTAGAAGAAGATATTCACCGTGAGTTTTCATGTTTGCTCAAGTCAGCGTTTGCCTTTTCCTTCTATGGAATTACAAACATCCCCCACTTCTTGACATTCCTTGATTCTATCACATATTCATTGTTTGGATGTTGGCCAATGTGTTCTGCAGTTTCTCACCGTGCGGCTCCATGCCATCTCTGTGCCGAGGCCTCTCCCTCCTGAAGGAAACTACAGACTCCGTCTCAGTCTGGTCGTCAAGGGTCTCCACACTGCCGGTCGCATTGGGGCTATAAAAAGATGAAATAAAGCATGACGAGATTCCAGCGTTTGGTTTATACGTTATATTTTTACTAAAGAGACATCTGTTTTTCCAGCATAGCCTTTACGAGCATGTCAAGTACAATGAAAACAACATGAAACTTATGGGGGACTTTTTGAAGTTTATACACTGTTAAAATGTTAGATTTTTTAAGTGTTTGATCCCAAAGAACATTATACATCTATACGGGGCAATTGAAAAGTATATGCAGCAGATCAAAATACACACACATGAAAACACATGATAAAAGTTTGACTGTTTAAACGTACAGATGGCAATATGATCCACTTCAACTTGTTACTTCCATATAGGGTTTTGACATATGATATTCTGAAATCCCATTAAAATTGTATACAGAGGCTGACTGACACTTTAACATCCTGTAACCGTATTTAAATCATTACGGAAACTATCAGATGACAGGAGAGCTATCGACGCGTAATGTATCAGCTCACATGGAGACTGAAAGGACAGGAAGGGAAGCACTCAGTGAAATGTCTGATAAACTCGGGCAAAATGCCAAAATAAGCCAACATGGGGCCGTCAAATATTCTGTTCACATAGGAAGACAGAGAACGCCTTGTGGTTCCACTTGAGAGCCAGATAAATGTCAGAGACCCTGCAATTTGAATTAGATTTCCGGTAAAGGTAATTGTGTTCGTCCAGCTTGGAAAGAAATAACTAGAGCGGCGGATTCTTCTTTGAGTCAAATCATAACTTTTTTTTTTTACATTCGATTGCATTAAGGATTTATGATATCCTTCACAGTAGACATTTGAACATATACAATTGCTGATCACCACTTTCATTGCATTTTGGATGATTTAGTCAACTTTGTAACACCCATGGTGTTCCCGGTCAAAAATGACCGCCATAAAGAAAAATAATTAGTAACCATCCGGATCAGATAAAACACACATACACACACACTCTAGATGTGTTACACACACACACACCCCCCCCTCCTATGTGCCCAATCCCCCCCATGTGAATCACACCTGACACACACACACACACAGAACAATGACACATTTCCCACTCTTATTTGCCCATCCCCCCACATGGATCACACCTGGCACACGCAATATATGTTCAGTGTCTATTCTTTGTATATATACTGCAGTTGTTCATGTATACAAGTAGTCTGATACAATATGTACAGTTTGAAAGGGTGTTAAATTAAATTTGGAGATGATTAATGGTTTTTGTGTTAATATAATAGCAGTTGAA